GAGAAATTGCTCATGAGGAAATACAACTGCATGTATGCTACTCTCGTGAAAGTTCTTCAGGAAACTAACAGAAGGCTATGAGGAAACAGATGTTGGTTTCAATTTTGACGGAAGCATATTTATCTTTATCAAGGCATATCAGGTCTGCTGTTTGTGCATCGTATTAGCTTGTTGATGTCACGACTGTTATCTTGTGTGTGCATGTGCCACATTTGGACGGTCATGTCAACGATTCAGATTAGAATAAAGTTTGGTTTCGTAGATCAATGCTCATGCTGCTGATCACTGGATTGTATGGTCCAAACCGCTGCCATATAGATGGAATATTGCTGAGTGCGGCATTAAACAAACAAACGTACGTAAGACAGAAACTTTGACACTATTTCTGTTGAAGTTAACAAATCTTAGTAGTGTATCTGTTTTGAGTCAGGTAATTCTTATTACATTACTCTTCTATATGTATATATGCATATGGATATTCTAAAGAACGTGATGTAATATGTTATGCATACAGACAATGGAAATAGAAAATGCTTTTTTTCACATTGCGAACTGTTGTCCAGGCACAGCTGACACTTTCAAACATAATTTGTTTTGCTCGATGTAATCTAAACAGTTTGTATTAATCAAACAGAGCATTTGTTATATGACTCAAATATTTAGGAGGAAGTCAGGTATATATATGCATCACAACTGGTTGAGAAATATGTAAATGTATATTGTATAACTGGCTTCGTTTTACAACACATATGGCGGAAAGTTCACTTTGACTTCCATACAGTTCCGGAACTACGGTAGTCTAGACTACCAGTTGTCCGACTTCAATTTTCGTGGAAGCGGCGTCTGACTTTGTGTGCTGGCGATTAGGTGCCTGATTCTGAGGGTGTGGGTTCGAATCCCGGATGGGACTCAATCCAACAAAAGTACAAGAATCTGTACTTTACAAGTGAGTGAGTGAGTGAGTGAGTTTAGTTTTACGCCGCACTCAGCAATATTCCAGCTATATGGCGGCGGTCTGTAAATAATCGAGTCTGGACCAGACAATCCAGTGATCAACAGCATGAGCATCGATCTGCGCAATTGGGAACCGATGACATGTGTCAACCAAGTCAGTGAAACTGACCACCCGATCCCGTTAGTCGCCTCTTACGACAAGATAGTCGCCTTTTTATGGCAAGCACATGGGTTTGTACTTTACAAAGAAAGTGTAATCCCAAATATAACATAAGTTACATTTGACCACTTTCTAAATGGCATTGCGTATTTCATTGTTTGATGAACTAATAATCACTATGCTAAACATACGGACAGAATACTTGCTTGTGAGACACCCTGGTCTTGATTATGATTATCATACAGAGTTGAACCCGAAAATGGAAGTCGGACAACTGGTAGTCTAGACTGCATACTTTGTGTACCCCTCTGATAAGTGTTAATTGGCACGGCTCCCAAGGCCGAAAGCTATGAAATACACAATGCCATTTAGAAAGTGGTGAAATGTAACATATGTTATATTTGGGATTACACTGACTTTGTGTGCTGGCGATTAGGTGCCTGACTCTGAGGCTGTGGGTTCGAATCCCGGATGGGACTCAATCCAACAAAAGTACTAGAATCTGTATTTTACAAAGAAAGTGTAGTCCCAAATATAACATGTTACAGTTCATCAAACGTTTTTAGACGATTCATTTAATGGACAGCCTTTTGTGGATGATTTTAATGTTTCTTGACCTAAACACATGAAAACAAGGTGAAGGCAATTTCAGTGATGTTTAGATAAAATGTGTGTAAGTGGTGTGTAGAAAATGGATTTTTGTTCTAAAAACCAAAAATATTTGTATTTATTGTGGCAGAAAATAAAATAAAAAACTCTTCAAAGACCAGGAGTATATTTCAGCTGTCAACCCTATTTAAGTTATTTAATCCGCAGGCATGATTTTTGTTTATTCAGTATTTAACCTTTCTTCTACATCTAAAATATTTTAAAATAACAGTTGTTTCAAACTCATGGTGGAAATATATCTGCAAACCTCCCCTAACAGTACAGAGCGTTCATTCGTTCTATACTTGATTACGTCTTTATCAGTTATGGAGGAGCATGTAAGAATTTAAAATTATCATTTTCTGTTCATCATCAAGGCCTATTACCTTGCCTTGGAGCATTTAGAACATTCTGGTGAGCCGTCCCACAAAATACATCGCATTTAAATTATCTTTACAGTATATTCTAAATTGTCTTCAAACCATAGACTCCAATTTTGCATACGACTGTGTTTTAGTACTCTGTATACAACATCTCTCCAATAAAAAAATCAATACTTATTCCCATCAGTAATTCTGCATTTAAAATATATCTTGAAAATACAGCCCAACATAGCCAGATGTAGACCTAAGGAAATGTGAAACAAACCTGGTTATTTACCAACAAGAGTATACTGACTGAAGAACCACGAATGATACTTACACATCTGCAATGTATCTTGTGGCTGAAATATTGCCGATGTGACGTTAAATAATAACTCACTCACTCACTGCAATGTATCTTGTGGCTGAAATATTGCCGAGGTGACGTTAAATAATAACTCACTCACTCACTGCAATGTATCTTATGGCTGAAATATTGCCGAGGTGACGTTAAATAATAACTCACTCACTCACTGCAATGTATCTTATGGCTGAAATATTGCCGATGTGACGTTAAATAATAACTCACTCACTCACTGCAATGTATCTTATGGCTGAAATATTGCCGATGTGACGTTAAATAATAACTCACTCACTCACTGCAATGTATCTTATGGCTAAAATATTGCCGATGTGACGTTAAATAATAACTCACTCACTCACTGCAATGTATCTTCAAAGATGGATCCAAGGATGGTGGCGTGGCTGCTAGTGCCACTATCATTGGATCCAGAACAATACCTTCAAGATTACCAGGTGACCGCTCCATGTACACAGCAGAGGAAATTTCAACAGCTCTAAACTTTCCTGTCTAAATATAAGCTGTTCATGTTTTCAGAATCTGTTTCATACGGAAGCGTAGTAGGGCCACGGTGAAATTGTTTTTGGGTCTTACTATCTCCTACGTAGTAATTACTATCTCCTACGTAGGACTTAGTATCTCCTACGTAGGACTTAATATCTCCTACGTAGGACTTAGTATCTCCTACGTAGGACATAGTATCTCCTACGTAGGACTTAGTATCTCCTACGTAGGACTTAGTATCTCCTACGTAGGAGTTAGTATCTCCTAAGTGGGTATCTCCTACGTAGGACTTAGTATCTCCTACGTAGGACATAGTATCTCCTACGTAGGACTTAGTATCTCCTACGTAGGAGTTAGTATCTCCTACGTAGGACTTAGTATCTCCTACGTAGGACATAGTATCTCCTACGTAGGACTTAGTATCTCCTACGTGGGAGTTAGTATCTCCTACGTAGGACTTAGTATCTCCTACGTAGGAGTTAGTATCTTCTACCTAGGACTTAGTATCTCCTACGTAGGACATAGTATCTCCTACGTAGGACTTAGTATCTCCTACGTAGGACATAGTATCTCCTACGTAGTACTTAATATTTCCTGTAGGAGATGATCGATATACGTTTATATGGATTAATCTGAAACGGTCGACTTAAAGCCCCAGACACGCACACAATCTCCTGTTTCACTGTTTCAGTCACTGTAAGAGTCTACAGTCATTCGTTTCATTCACTATTAGAGTCTACAGTTATGTGTTTCATTTACTGTTAGAGTCTACTATCATGTGTTTCAATTTACTATTAGAGTCTACTGTTTCCTTCACTATGAGAGTCATGTGTTCAACTAATTGTTGCACATTAGTACTGTGTTGGACCGACTGTTATACTTTACTGCCTTGCGTTCAGTTTGCTCCACTATTACGCGTTGCAGTTAGTTCACTGTTATATGTTGCACTTTGTTACACTTTACTATTATGCATTGGATATTTCAGAGGTCGTTGCACATGAATCATAATCTGCGTGTACAGACGTGTCTTAGACTATAGGTGGCAATCTATGTCTATCCGATCCAACCTACCCCCATCAAGACAAACAACAACTTGCGGAGGTCGTGTTATAACCCGAGTTTCATATCACAACCTCACCCCAACCACCTCTCTCTCTCTCTCTCTCTCTCTCTCTCTCTGTGTGTGTGTGTGTGTGTGTTTGTGTTTGTGAATAGATGTATGTATGATAGATTAAACATAACCATACCCAAACCTCCATAACTGCAATTAGAACAGGGTCCACGTCACCCTAACGTAATACACACACAATAACACTGTATAGTAACACTGCGTTAGTGTCATGAATATTCACTGAATAACATTTGGACTATCTAACGTCCTGCATAGCCAAACATTTGTCAACTTAATAACCATCCTTAAAAAGGATATATTAAGTCCTACGTAGGAGATATTAAGTCCTACGTAGGAGATATTAAGTCCTAGGTAGGAGATACTAAGTCCTACGTAGGAGATACTAAGTCCTACGTAGGAGATATTAAGTCCTACGTAGGAGATAGTGACCCCAAATGTTTTTTTCACCGTGGCCCTACTACGCTTCCGTAGTTTCATGCCTTCAGGCTATTTAAACATATGACTCGAACATCCACTCTTAATTGTTGAAATATATAATGATCTTGTAAGTGTCCAATACATTGTACGACATTTTCTACAGATTTTCTGGTACCACAATGGCTGTTCCTGTTTCTAAAGCAGCATTCGAGAAATCGTAGCACTACATCTCATCCCTTACATTGATTATATGACTGTAATTAAATGTCTTGTTGGTGATCTAATGCACAACCAATATATCGAAGATGGCATAACTAGACTACATGAAATTGAACCAAATTTCGATTCCATCAATTGGGTTGTCGGTCCAGAAACCATTATCAAAGCGTATCGTATTGGCCCTTCAAGATATACTCATGAACAGTTACTGAGCAGTTGGGATCCTCCATTTCGTATCCCCTGTGGTGGGAGAATCGCGGTCAAGAGGACAGTCAGGGATGTTTTTAATAACTTTAATTCCTATTAAAAGAAATATAACAAAGTCATGTGTTAAAACGTTGGTACGATATGATTATTTACTGAGATTGTTAGTGGCCTCAACAGGGGTTAAAGTATTGTAAACATATTGTCCCACCGAGAGTGTAACGTGTCCATATCATTAAAAAAATGTAATGTCTACCACTTTTTATCGTCAACCACTAAAGGGATGGTGTTAATCCAGGTGGATGAGTGAGTTGCGGTAGGTTCCTGTTCCAAGGGGCAGACTAGTACCTTCGTATGTCCAATTTCGTGCTAAGACTGGTGATAAAAGCGTTCGCTCGCCTGCCGAACACCCGAGTTCTGTTCCCCACATGGATGCAATGTGTGATGCCCATTTCTGGTGACCTCCGCTGTGAGTGAATAAGTGAGTTATTATTTATCGTCACATCGGCAATATTTCAGCCATATCGTGACGAGAACAATTAATTTTATACATAGTAATTAATGGTAAATTGTAAAAAACCTGTCAACGAAGGACAGTAAGATAACTAGATTATCACAGATTCGAATTTAAAACTAGTTATTAGATCTAAAACAGTTTAACTATAGATGACAATATAATATAAAAACAGGCTATATTTTGCCAACAACTGAAGGTCGATCACCATACTAGGGACGTTAATCCAGGTGAGGTCCATGCAGGTGATAAGAGTACCGTATGTCCTCCTGGTCCGAAGTGTGGGCATTTGCTGGCAATCTCTGGTCCGTTTTTATATCGTATTGCCTTGAGAAGCGAAGTAATTTTAGGGTTACATTCTCGTCTTAAATCTGTATGTTTGATACTGTTTTTTTGCCGTCGTTTGATAACAATTTATATAATCATGCATAATGCATTATAAGTGTATAACTTGTTTAATAACGATATGGTTGAAATACTGCAAGTGTGAATATAAATCGTAAATCAATCATTAAGTTCCTACATTTAGTCCAAAAAGGTCCACATGAGTCAGTAAGTGATACATATGGCTGAAATATTGCCGGTCTGATGTTAAATTTTAACTCACTCACTCACTCAGTAGGTGATACTAAAATTTAATAAAGCTTCAGAGGTCCATGCAGGAGATAAGAGTACCGCATGTCCTCATGGTCCGTAGTGTAGGCATTTGCAGGCAATCTCTGGCCCGTTTTTATATTGTATTGCCATGAGAAGTGCTAATCCTAAATCTGTCCTACTTGTCGTAAAAAAAGGTCCACACAAGTGATAAGATGATACTAAAATTTAATAAATATTCAGTGTCAAAAAGTGATTAATAGTACTCATAAAATGATAATTTACTGCGAACACACATCTTTGAATTCTCTCAACATGTATTTGGTTATACGATTACATAACAATAAACAATATGATACTGTGTGCATGGTTATAAAGCCCGAGTCTTCGGGAGGCGAGCGAACGCTTTAACCACCGCTTTTCACTACGTGAAAGGACCTGAAAGGCAAAACAGTGATGAAAGTAATACTAGTGTGACTTCATTACAAGAAGGGTACCACAGTCACACAGTTTTCACGAAAAGCGTTCATAGTAAGTAAACAGCATTCGGATTATTATTATTTCATTGACATGACCTAATGACCTGACGAAGCAGTAAGCAGTTACTATCTATAAACGTTTCGTGCTTCAAAATAAAGAAGTTGATAACAGTTTGCAAAGCGCTGGTAATATATTATATTTGGTCAAAAGCACTGCATTGACTTTGCCTTGGGTGTGATGTTTGAATAGTTTTTCAGTCAAAGTCGGAGTCACAGTCTCAATCCTTGATGATGAAGGCATAACAGAAAAGATTTTCGTCCTTGAAATCGTCTGGGTTCCTATTTCGAATCACTTCCTCCACCTCAGCATATAATTCATTCACAATCAGTTCTTTCTCATCTTTACTCCTAGTTCCTGAAAGTCCTGTCAGAAAGGCACTGTTGCTCCAACAGCGATGGGCTGACACTAATCGTCTGGCAAATTCAAACCTATCATCCACGCCTGCCTCTTCCTTCCTTTGTCGCCATTCCTTGTACATTTTGCAAGAAACAAACACCTGTTTAGCTGATAAAAGACGTAAATTGCTTTTACTCACATTTGAGTCAGGATCTTCAAACGGTGCTTTCAGTAGTGTTAAGCTCTTGTCACAGAATGCCATATTTGTATTATGGAGTTCATGTTGGGAAATCTTGCCCATATCGCAAAATGTTTTCCACACAGTATTCAAAACGGACAAGAAGTTACCAACGGTAATCTTGGTTTCACCTGATGAAGTGGTGCAATTGGTACCTGTAGATACAACCAATAATCCTCCTTTCTTCAGCTCTCGACTTCTCAAGATAAGGAATTTCTCCCAATCCTCAGAAGCTTGTTTCTCGAGCATATACCTGGCATCATCATTTGTGTTTGGAAAAGAGAAAATGTCGTCCTTATTAACAGGAGGTTTTCCAGAAAGCCAATGTACAGCTACTCCACTGTATATTATGTGCATTGAATCAGCTGGGACACACTGCTTGTAAAAATGTGTTCCCGATGCCAAGGCAAAAACGTTCTCAATATCCTGGAGATAGGATGGTGGCTCGGAGATTAGACCAGAGAGGCGTCTAAACAGGGAGTTGAAGTCGTTGACCTCTTGGTCTTCATAGATGATCTGAAACTGCACGTCAGAGCCATGGTGCTCTTTCAGACTTTCGATTAGTTTTCTAATAAGTCTCATGGAAGCTGCACCATCAGCAGTTCCATAGTCGCCGATATTGTATACCAAGGTTTTGTCTGGGAAGGGAACGTCCTTAGCAAGCTTCAAGAAGTCACTCGTTTGAAAAAGAACTGAACTTCTGTCACAGTTTGCTCCTAGGTTAGCACCGTAGGTCCCCATGCCTGTCTCGCCATATGGCAGATGAGCGCCATTGTCACAAATATTGCCAGCTGCCATATTATCTGAGACTGATCTTTCAACGTGGCGGAGGTATCGAGATGAAGGCTGTCTGCTTTATGTAGCAGGCTGTTCCCGTCCCACGTGACTCAAGGAGGATATTGTTACATCGATTATGCATTTCACTGTCACATCAGCATATCTATGAATATCATTCTAGTGGATACAAATATCTGTTTCACTTGTGGGGACCAGACAGGCTAGAAAAATAAAAATTCTGCTATGACATGTTACATGAAACATACTGTCCATCGTCGACAGGTTTTACTCTCCAAAATGTTTTCATTTTTTATTGTATAAATTGTTTTCGTCACGATATGGCTGAGATATTGCCGATGTGACGTTAAATATTAACTCACTCACTCACTTACATGAAACATGCCAGAAAATGTGTGCAAGACTTTGCCCGTCCGTTACTCCTAACTTCTGCTGAATAACAATTAGTAAAGATTAGTAAAGATTATTCTTTACAAAAATACAAGATTAGTATCAAACTTTGCACGGCACAAATACTGTCAGTTCGTTTAGAGGCAGAGGGAAGGTCAATGCATTCAAACTTCTTGTCAACAGAGACCCGTGAAGATCCGGGGTAGAATAGGTCTTCAGCAACCCATGTTCTTGCCATAAAAAGGCGACTATCTTGTCGTAAGAGGCGACTAACGGGATCGGGTGGTCAGGCTCGCTGACTTGGTTGACACATGTCATCGGTTCCCAATTGCGCAGATCGATGCTCATGCTGTTGATCACTGGATTGTCTGGTCCAGACTCGATTATTTACAGACCGCCGCCATATAGCTGGAATATTGCTGAGTGCGGCGTAAAACTAAACTCACTCACTCACTCTTGTCAACAGCAAGGACTATCAAGAGGCTTTCCAACAACTTGGGAATGAGTGGACTGTGCCACCAGGTTTAATCGACTCACTTCAATCATTCACATGCCGCCTGTATGCCTCAGGTTCTTACATAAGGGATGCCAATCAATTGCGCTACCACTTATTTGAAGTGAAAAAAGGGAAAAATGACACCCTGCTTTGATTGTCCATCTATGCACATCGCGAGAGCAAACTATCAAGCTGCAATATTGAACAACTGTCTGGAAGATGAATATCCAACTTCACGAACATCACATGGTCATGGATGTGTGGAAGAAAATGGTCACATAGCGATTTGCTGGATGACAGGACCTCTGGCTCCAGATGCTGTTCTTGAGTTCATTTCTTGCAAGTCCACAACAGTCTGTAAACCGCCAAGTTGTCAATGCCTTACCAATGGACTGAAATGCACTGTGACATGTCGGAACCAGACTTGTGACATCATGGTATGCGAGGACCATGACATGCCGAAGAGTGACTCTGATGATGAAGCTGATGTTCATAATGCGGAATAGTGACTATCACTAACCAATTTTAGGAACTTGAAGGTGCACTCACTCGTTGAAATTAAAGAGCTGTGTTCAGAATAAATGAATTGTTGAGTTTTCGAAAAAAGTTCTTAGAACTTACAAGTTTGTCTCTTAAAAATAAGGCAAAAATATGATTGAAATGTATCAAATAACACTACTTGATATTAGTTAAATCTGTTTAATCATGTTAGCAATATTTTACCTCCCTGTTTTCATATCCAACCTATTTGCTGAACATTACTCATGATAAAAGATTGGTTTTGACATTTTTTTACATATTTTTTTCTTTGGCGGCCATCTTGGATTTAGCCTCGTTCTCAGTTTGAGCTACCAAGCCAACATGGCCATCATACATTTTTGACATGTAGAGACCAGGATAACTTCAAAAAGCATAAAAGTGTTTGGTCCCTCTGAGTGGTACCGAAAAATTGTCTGGCTCATTGCCTACCTGTGGTTATTTCCAGATAATTCGTTCTAACTTTGATATATATAGCACACCGTCTGACTACAGCGCACCAAATGTCAGGTTCAATGCATAACAGTTGTGTTTAGTCTGGTCTTATAGTTCTTGCCAGGTAAGAACAACGCGGCCAGACCTTGTTTTACATTATCCCAAATCTTAACATATCTCATATGAGATGCATATGATGCAACCATCGACCTTCTGCTGTCTCGGGGACAAAAAGCAAGATAAACGTATGTGAAGGTAGTAATATCTCCTTTATTAGAGAAACAAGCATTGTCACTAAGGTGACATAATCCCCCGCCGCAAATTATCAAATCAAACTTAAAAAGTAATGAAAGTTAAAGTTAAATGTCAACAGAAACATGACCAGTCAACCTCTCTTGATATCTTGCTCTTGAGTTGTTCAAACACACAAGTCAAATATGTTCTCGTCACGATATGGCTGCAATATCAGTGACTAAATTAACTCACTCGATCAACTGAAACACACAAATATTTTAAAGACTGACTTTGACCTTGACATGAATGTCATAGTGTTTGAAATATGCAAAAATGGTTCTAAAGAAATTGCTTATTGAAAAATATTCAAGGGAAGTCTTGAAAGTCCATGAAGAAAATCCAGTGAATTCAGGTTAACATGCTGAAATCTTCAAAGTGTCGCAGTGACCTTGAAAATTATGTGAAGGTCACCGAAATTGACTGGGCCCTGCGCCTTCATTAGATGAAGCTTGGTGTTAAATATGAAGAAAATCAAGAGAATGGTTCTTGAGGTATCTCGCTGACAAGCATAACATGCAGGTTATTATGCTGAAATCTTCAAAGTGTCGCTATGACCTTGCAAATTAAGTGACGGTCACCAAAATCAACTGGACCCTGCGCCTTCCCTAGATAAAGCTTCATGTTGAATATGAAGAAAATCTAGAGAACGGTTCTTGAGATATCTCGCTGACAAGGGTAAAACGTTCAAGTCCACTTGTGACCTTGAAATTAAGGTCAAGGTCACCGACCTGACTGGGACCTTTCTTATGAACCGAGGTATCAAATATGAAAAGAATCTAGTCAACGGTTCTTAAGATATTCCAATTCGTACGTACGGGCATACGTACGGTCGTACGGACGGACGGACGGACGGACGGACGGACGGAGCCAATTACTATATCCCCTGCCACGCGTTTAGCGCGAAGCTAATAACCTAGTTTAGGAAACACATTAAACAACATTCAGATGCAGTTTGTTTGCAATAATGCAACTAATTCACATTCAAGTATTTGCCATCACTATCATCACACTCTATAATTGGAAAACTAGGACATGCATCAACCGGGTCAGCAAGCATAACCACCAGATCCTATTAGTTACCTCCCACAACAATATAATACATTATGTATGCATGCCATCATTTGTATGTACACACGCCCAGTTGGTGGACGAAAAAGTAAAAAGTGGCTACACTCTAAAACGTCCGTGACAGATAAATAATCAATTATTTGCCAAAACAGGTTCAAGGTGCTAAACAGTGAACAATATTGTACAAATAGAACAGTAAACAGCTTTCGAGAATGGTTAGAATGACAAGATCTACGTGGTCTAGGCCATTATTGTTTGGACAAGTGCGGCTGTTGTTGCCATATCATCAATGCACTTATTCATCAAGTTGCAACCAATGTCACTTTGGCGAACCACGTTGTTAATCTAGGTTGCAATAATTTCAAAAGCGATTCTGGTAAATAGAGGCTAGTAAAATCCCAATCTGAAACTCACTCTTTGATGATGCAGACACAGGAGAAACGATTGGCATCATCAAAAATGTTTGGGTTGATGTTCTTGATCACCTCCTCAACCTGAGAGTATAACTCATTCACAATCAGTTCCTTCTCTTCCTGACTCCTAGTTTCTGTAAGTCCTGTCTGAAAGGCACTGTTGCTCCAACAGCGATGATCCGAGACAAACCTTTTGACAAATATAGCCCTATCGTCAACGCCTTCCGTTTCCTTCCTTCGCCTCCACCCGTGAAGGTCTGGGTTAGAATTGGTCTTCAGTAACCCATGCTTGTCGTAAGAGGCGGCTAACGGGATCGGGTGGTCAGGGTTGCTGACTTGGTTGACACATGTCATCGGTTCCCAATTGCGCAGATCGTTGCTGATGCTGTTAATCACTGGATTGTCTGGTCCAGACTCGATTATGTACAGACCGCGACCATATAGCTGGAATATTGCTGAGTTCGGCGTAAAACTCACTCACTCACTCACTCCTTCGCCTCCATTCAATGTAGACTTCACGAGGAATGTCCGTCGGCAGTTCCATAGTCGCCGATATTGTATACCGAGGTTTTGTCTAGGAAGGGAACATTCTTAGCCAGGTCCATGAAGTCACCATTTTGAAGAAGTACTGAACATTCATCAGAGCTTAACGCTAAGTTAGCACCATAAGTCCCCATGCCTGCTTCTCCATATGGCAGATGAGCGCCATTGCCACAAAGATTGCCAGCTGCCATAATATTTGAGAGTGTTCAACGAGACTGGGGTATCGAGATGAAAGCTGTCTGTTTTATACGGGAAACTGGTCCCGACTCACGTGACTGTGAAGTTAAGAGGAGGATATTATTACATCGCTTATGCATTACACTGTTCCAGAAGCGTGCTTGTGTTGTTATGGTAACAAATCCTTATATTGCTACTCTCTCACTTGTGGAAATTGGAAAGGTGGGAGAGTTCAGCCAAACCTGCTTCGATATTTCACATTGGCGTCAGCCTTTCATATCCATAACATAGATTTATTACAGTAGTAATGCCAAACCTGGATTGAGTAGGGACATGCAAGCCTGCGCATTTGACATTTGATAAAATAGGCATCATACTGGGCCATGCATTTATAAACATATATTTTGTATTTAAGTTGAATATATTGATATTTGAGAAAGTAATATCACTATGCCAGAGTTTGGAATGTAGTTTAATATGTATTCTTGTAACACGTGGTCATATTACTCTGTCACACATATTTGATTTAAGTAAGTAATTTTAAGAATGAAACTAATAATTTTACTTTCTTTATTTATCAGTTGATGTATATTTTGAAGGAGCACATTTGGGTTGTATGCATTCTAGAGAACACTGTCATATATCCAGTGACAACAAATATAATGAAGCATGCAGATGCAATGTTTGCACTTTAGGTTGCACTAAAACATTGTTCCGTGCCACAGCTACAGGATGCCTGT